AAAAATCAGGAAGGGAACGAGAGGAATAAATACATTGACCTCTCTCTCCTCTTTCCCTCCAATCTCCTATGAGAGCCTCCCATTGGCCAACGCCAACAATAATGGGATCCCAGGGGATGCAGAGCATGAAGGTCAGTCCTCCGGGGCTTAGAGCAAGACAGAAAATAGTGGAGCATGGATCTTGGACACATCAAGGTTACATGACTAGAATGTAGGAGGGCCAGGAGTCAAAGTCAGTTTTATCATCCCTTAGTCATTGCTTTCATGTATTCCTCTACCATATGCTTTTTAGCTGCTTGGTAAATATTTGTATAATGAGTGAATTCCTAGGTGAAAGTTGAAGAAACTGAGGTTAGGAGGCTACACGTCTTGACTTTAGGAACCAGAGCCCTGGCTTCCCTAGAACTATCTCCCAGTCTGTAACCCACTGCCTGCCCTCTCAACCAAACATCGCTCACTCCTTGGATGGCAAAGGAACTCTGCAGCAATGGGTTTCTTCTGCAGAAAACCTTTTTGTGTCAAATTTAGTGATTCTCATGTGGAAACACTCAGGACTTAGTGTCAGATTGTGGACTTAGGGTACTTACTTGATCCAGTATCTCTAGCACGTGGGGTAGACAAGGACATCCTTGAGCACTCATTCTCTTTTAGGATTCCCACCCCCACTCTCAAACACTCATCCCCAGTGAAAGTAAATCTTGCATCTGCTAAAAATGGAGTAAAAAAGGAGGAAGGCAAGAGTGTCTGTTTTAATCCTGAAATAATTGCTACCTAAAATTGACTTCAAATGCAGGTACCGGCAATATTGTCAATGGAAAAGAAAAATTGTCCCTGTATCAATCAGTGTCAAGCTGGGAGAATATAAAAAGCTTTAGGTATTTCAAATAGGGGGAATTTAAACAGGGAATTGATTACAAAGGTCTTGAGATGTGTGGAAGAGCAAAAGGAGCAATTTGACCATAAGATCCACATTATCATTCACAATTGCATCCCCAGTACCTAGCATAGAACCTGGTATGTAGCAAGGGTTCAATAAATGTGTATTGATGATATTTGTGGGTGAGATTTGGAAGGCCTAGGAAGGCCATGGGTTCTGTCGGGAACCATTAGGATACCCGTATGACTCTGATAATTCAGTGGATGTGGATATGTGGTTTGGTCATTGGTAGGAAATCATGTTCAAAGCCTTCTGTTCAAACCTGTCGATGGATAATATTTATTGAGCACGTGCTGGGTGCTATGTCCTATGCTAAGCATTTTTCTAAGCAATTTGCATTATTAGGTTAACCTTCGTAATAACCCTACGATAATGAGTTAATTGTTTCCCATTTTACAGATGAGGATGAAACTAAGGCAAAGAGCTTTTAAGTAACATGTCTAAGACTTTACAACAAGAAAATAGCAGAGCCAAGCTTCCACCCACAAAGTCTGGCTCCAGAAGCTACACTCAGTCTCCACACCATATGTCTCTCCATTGCTCAAGTGATGAAAGCCTAGCCCATCTTTCTACCTTTATTTTCCATTTTCCCCATTGTACTCTGGGGCAGAAACCAGCTGGCTGTTTCCCCAACCTGTTTCCTCTTCTTTCTGAGCTCACACAGGCTGTATTTTCTTGCCCTTCCCTGTAGTTATTGTAGCTGTGTGACTGAGTTCTAGCTAGAGGAATGTGAGCAGAGGTGATATACATCACTTCTTAGCCTGGCCCATTAAGTCTGTCAGACATGGTGCTTTCCCTTTCTTAGAGCTTGAAGAAAGTGAGCACAGTGAACTTGGATGCCAAATTTTGAAAAGCTGGAGCCACAAAATGGAAGATGTCTAGATCCCTGAATGTTGCTTGGAGAGGCGTCAGGAACCAACCAGGAATGTCTGAAGTTTCTATCAACTTTGTGCCATAATATGGGTTGGGGTCATTTGGTTACAGCAGCTAATTACCTTAACCAATACATATGTGAATCAAGTTGATCTATCTAGTGTTCCTTGAACATGTGTCTGGCTTTTGCATATACTTTTCCTTAGGATTCTCATCCTCTCCTTCCAATTATTCACATCCTAAAAATTATTCAAGGCCTGAACCAAGTCTAATCGCCTTCAAGCAGCTTTCTTCTACTCCCATCAGACACAGTTATATCTCTTTCCCTCAACTTCCTGTAGCACTTTGTTGTCTGTATCTCTTGTATGCCCTTATCATAGCTCCAATTTTGGATGTCTTGTTTTCCCAGTGATATTGTGAGCTCTTCAAGGTCAAGGACCATGTTTTTATGCTTTTTATATGACTCTGAAGTGTTGTACTTTGGGAATTTTCAGTAAATATTTGTGGGAAAAATGAATTTACAAATGCATCAGGCTCAATAAAGTCCATTTCCCTAAAAAACTGTCCTCCATTGCTCAAGCAGGGAGGCATGCAAACTATAATTTGCTGGAGTTGGTGTTTTTATTACTCTTTTCACCAATATACACATTCTAACATTTTTTGACAATCGCTTAGAGGAGAAAAAAGGCAGGCTTATAAATTTCAGAAGACATAAAACTAGAGATAATAAGTAATGCATGAGATGACAGAATCAAAACTAGACAAGTTGGAATGAAGCAGATAACATTTAATAGGGCTAAGTACAAATTTAGATTTTAAAAAACCAGTGGCCCAATTTCAATATGGAAAGACATGGCTAACACCAATTTATAGAAAAAATTTGCAGCTTTTAATGGTTTGCAAGACTGACATGAGCCCAGAGTGGTACACAGGACCCTGTTCATAGTTAGGCTCAGGGCACTAGGATGTAGGCCAAGCATTCAGGCTCCAACATTAGGTACAGGCATGAAATAAGGTTGCTAAGTGGAGGCCAACTGGAGATGGATGGAGCCTCAGTGTTGGGTAAAGAGGGGAACAAAGTCCTACATTTTAACTTGGGCAAGCTTAGCACATGGGTCAACTTTCATTTGTAGCACTGGTGGGAATCCCCCGTCTGAAGACACCATTCAGTGATTTCTGACACTAAGCTGGCACCAATAGGCAGACTGAGTCCTCTTAGAGTTTTGCCTCAGAAGTAGAACCTAGTAGGTCTTAAAGTTTTGTTATTTTACTTTTGGTCCTACTTCCAGTGTCAGGGTCAGAGATGTCCTTCACTTAAGACCCCTCATTTCTGAAGGTGAGAAATGCCATGTCATCTGGGTAAACTCAGGTCACCCTTGGGAGAGGGGGAGAAGGCGGATCACATGTTCTCCAGGCTCAGTTGAGACAACTGTTCCACCATCCTCGGATAGATCTGCTCCTAGAAACCCATATGTCCTAAAAACTGGGATCAGAGTTCTGGCAAGAAGACTGTGGCCTGGGCCTTGGCACTCGACCACCAAAAAAAGCGAATACAATCTTAGGCAGTGTTAATAGGAGCCTAGCATGGAGAACAAAGGTTCTGCTGTAGTCTGTGCTCGTCAGACCACACAGGAAGAATTGCTTCTTTTCCGGATACTATGATTTAAAAGGGATAGAGACAAATTAGGTGAATCAAAAAGGAAGACGACCAGAATGCTGAAGGGACTTAAAAACCAAATCACTAGCTCCTTTTTGGTGGTTCAAAGACTGGAAGAGGTCAGGATGGTGGGTGGGAGGAGAATGTCAGGTAGCATAGATATCAGAACTGTCTTCAGGTACATGAATGCTGTCTTGTGAAAAAATATTCGCGTATTAGGTAATGCCAGAAGGCAGAACTCGGACCAGTGGGTTTTAAGCCAAAAATGAAGAATTTTTTTAACCATGATAGCTCTTCAAAAGTGGAATACACTGTAAGTAAGTGAGCTTTTAAAATGTTCGAGTAAAGATCTGATGACTGTCATAGATGTTTTGGCTGGAATTCAAGAACATTGATTAGGAAGTTAGAAGAGAGGGTCTCTAAGGTCCCATGCAAATTTCAAGTTCTTACGATCCAATCAATCTTTAAATTAGAAATGTGCTACAGAATGTGAGGGAAGATTATTACACGAGAGTATTTTGGAGTTAGAAACTGGTTTTTGAAGTGGGTCTTCCTCTCAAAAAAGCAGAACCCATGGATTATTACATATGTAATACGTGAGAGGGGAAAAAAAGAGAAGTTTAGTATCATTAAGAAGGGAAAGGGACTGCCTAAGGGGTACAAAAAAGAAACGTTCAACAAATACAAGGGGAATTGCCCGGAGTCTGTACAGGCGTGAGGGAGGCCAGAGAGAAGGTGGGAAAACATTTTTCTCAAAGACAAGGAGTTGTGAGGCTACACACCTGACACTGCACAAGCGCACAAGGTGAGCACATGTCTATCGTGGGGACAGCTCGCTCGGTCTTTGCCTCCCTTCCTCTGTGGGCCCTGGACACGAACACGCTAGAATCACATCGCTCAGGAGAGCCGATGGTCCTTGAAATACTGTTTCTCTCTATTTTTCCCTATGCATGTGTTTCTTGGTCTCTTCCTCTTTCTCACAGACGGGAAGAAATACATTCTTTTTGTAATGTCGAGTCTCACGTCGGGGAGAGGTTAATTGCAGGGAAAGTTAAGGTAACGTGGACTTGGGTGCGAAGACAGATTCTCACACTAAGAACTGGGGGTGCTCCCACGCGCTGGGCAGCCTGGGAACAGGAGAGCAGAGGGAGAGGTCAAAGTATTTATCCAGAAAAGAATCATCCCATCCTTTGCCTCCTGCCCCCAAGAAGCCCTCCGGTCGCTCTCCGAGTCCGCCGTGGGGGCGATGTGCGGTGTGCACCTGCGGCGGAGCACAGGTACCGTCAGGGCCGGGGACGCCGACTTGTCGCCGAGGCCCCCCGCCTGCGCACACCTCCCGCGCTACCCGCCTCCCCGGCCGCTCCCCCAGCCCACTCCTGGCGCGGGGCTCACCGCCCCATCGCCCGCCGCAGACGGGAGCGCCGGGGTGGCGCGCGGGCGGCGCGCGGGCCGGCGCCCGGAGCTCTGGGCATGCTCAGTCGCGCGGGCAGGGCTCCGGGCGCGAGCCGGGCTCCCTCTGCACCGCAGTCCGCGGCTGCCAAGAGGAGCCGCCGGGCGCTCGCAGGCTCGGCGCGCGCTGCCCGCGGGAGGACCCGGCCGCCGCGCCCCCGCCGCGCCCCGCCGCCGTCCGGAGCCATGGCCGCGCTCGGCCACCCCGCCGCCTTCGGCCGGGCCACCCACGCCGTGGTGCGGGCGCCGCCCGAGTCCCTGGTCCAGCACGCGCTGAGGCGCGCCAAGGGCGACGAGGTGGATTTCGCCCGCGCCGAGCGGCAGTACCAGCTCTACGTGGGCGTGCTGGGCAGCAAGCTGGGGCTGCAGGTGGTGGAGCTGCCGGCCGACGAGAGCCTCCCGGACTGCGTGTTCGTGGAGGACGTGGCCGTGGTGTGCGAGGAGACGGCCCTCATCACCCGCCCCGGGGCGCCGAGCCGGAGGAAGGAGGTAACTGCCCGCGCGGCGGCGCGAGGGGCGCGGCCGGGGCAGCGCGCCGGGCCCTCCCCTGCCGCCCGCGGCCGAGTTGCCGGGGCAGTCGCGGAATGGGCCCCGGGCGAGTTCCAAACTTCCCGTTTGGGGGCGAGGGGGTGTGTGTGAGACAGTCAGAGAGAGAGAAGTTCATTGTTCACGCCTCCCGGCTGTCGGTGCAGCTTGGGTGCCTCCGAGAAGACCCGATTGAGTGTGGTTGTGCGGACTCGGCAGGTGGGTGGGGTGGGGAATCCATTTCACCAGCAGTTTTATTTGTAAAGATTAAACAGCGTCAAAGACAATGCCGTGCAACTCCCGGAGAGCGGGGGCAGGGAGGGTGCCGCTCCAGGCGGGCGGATGCAGGCTGGGCGAGGACTCCAGGGGCAGCGCCAGTTGGTGACACGGGAGCCCCCAAGTCCTGCCTGGGGCTGGGAGCAGGGCGGGCCAGATGAATTAACAGGGTGTGGGTACCCACAGACCTAGGGCGTCCGGAGTTACTTTTCAGTGGTGGCGAGTGAGTCCTGCAGAAAGGGACTGGCAAGTGAATGAATCGAAGGAGAGTGGTTGGTTGGTGAGCTGTGGTCAATGTGCGCATGAATAGGCTAGGTTTGAAAAGCTGTACTCCGTGTAAGGGTATGGGGGGGGGGGGTGTTTAATTAGAAATGGTTGTTTCACAGATTCCATAATTTTTATTCTCTATTTTCAAACTCATGGCAATTAGAGCTTTTTTGTGTTCTCAAGGTTTAGTGACTACTTTAAAATATTGCAGCTTGTGAAAATGGGGATTGCTTTAAACACAAGGTAGGTTAGTGGAGAGAGACAAATAAAGTGAGATTGGATTTTAAAATGCCATCTGGCCTGGGATTCTTCTCGTTGCCCGCTAAGAGCCCAGGCTGGAGACTCTCTGTTGCTATTGGCATCAAGTGGCATTGCAAGAAGCTGGTGCTTTCTTTCATGTCTGGAGGGTTAGGGTGTTTTTTTCCTTCTTTTTTGTCCTTATTCAATTCACACTGGAAATGCCTCATAGAACTTATTGTACACATGCTTCACGACTTGGTTGATAGAATCTTACATGGTCAGAGAGTATAAGCATATTCCATTTATTTCTCACTGAGATTATCAGCTTTTTTTCACTCTACCTTCGCAGAAAGCCAAGAGTAACAGATCTCATTCTCTTAGCTCTTCTATCTCCTTTGCCACACCTCTCTATCTTTGAGGTTGTGGGATGACCCACTCTATTTTAAAGTGATGTGTGTAAACCCATTTGAATATTTTCTAACGTGTCCTGGGCCATATGGCAGAGCTGTGGTTGGTACTTAAAAGAGTAAAATAGATTTCAAAAACCCTTTCAGAATGGTACTCATTCGATGAGGGTAGTGCAATTTCCTGTAAAGAGACTGTTGCATATTTAATCATCAATTTAATTTCATTACTATAATAAAACTTCCAGATTTTGGCCTTCCTGATACTAAAGCGGGCTGTGATCTTTCTCCCCTGTCGTAGTTTGAGGCATACATTTTAAATTGGCTTCATTCTTATATCAGGGTTGTGGCCTGCTGCCAGAGGCCACATGGTGTAATAGATAAGAACATCAGACTGGATCTAATTCTGTGATGTTGGGGAGTGTCTCTTGACTCAGTTTTCTCACCTGTAAAGTGGACGTATTAATACCAATTTCATAGAATTGTTGTAATAAATTTATTAATCCATCTGAAGTTTATAGAACAAGACATTTCAAGAATGTTGGTTATTACTTACTTAACAATGGGTCGTGGAAGATGTACTCTTTCTTGAACAGTAAGAAGTCTGCTGTACACTGATGCAGTTATAGTGACATTTCCCTTTCCCAGGGTGAAGGGGAGTCATCTTCACGCCTTAGGTTCCATTCTAATCTGCTATGTAGCAGTCCTCCCAGCTTGAGTTTCCTGCTGGTGTGTGGTCTCTCCCCAAAACGCTTTTGCTGTTGCACTTGATCTAGATCACCAGAGTAACAGACCTTCCAGCCAGAGAGAGGAACATGGGCAGTTGCGTTGGATGAGGTGCTTCTGAAAAGCAGGGCCGTGCAGCGTAACTAACTCTCTTTGAAATCGCTCACACACCAGTTCACTGCCTTAGCCTTCAAAGCCCTCATTGGATTGTTATAGATGTCTTTCATGTGATACCTGCCTCCCTAACTGTGAAATTCCACAACAGCAAGGCATTATTTGAAAGTTATTATCACTGATCCCCTTGCCTCCTGTCTCCTCGCTCTCCTACACTGTAGGCAAGCTGGTTTTTCTAAACTCAAATCTGAGTCTGTCCCTCTTCTGATTAAAATTCTTGAGGGGGCCTCCCTTGAGCTCGAAAAACTGGTTGAGCTGGGCTCTGCTTGCCTTTCCATCCTCAGCTGCATGTCTGACCCCACCGCAGGGGCCTCCCAACCCTTGGCTCAAGCCAAGTTCTTCCCCTCAAGCTCATTATGCTATTGCTTTTCTGGGTGCACATTTCTCCTTAGCCTATGGCACTCTTCCTGCTTCCTCTCCTCCATTTTACCTGGGTACTCCTACTCATGCTTCAGTTCTCAGCTTCCTATTATCATTAATATTATTAGCTAATCTTTCTTGGGTGCTTGCCATTTGCCAGACATTGTGCCAGATTTATGGCATGCATTTCACTGAATGCTCACATGAACTCTGTGAGCTCAATACTCTCATTATTCCTGTTTTAAAGTTGATGAAACTGAGGCCTAGAGAGATTAGATAAATTGGCCAAGGTTATAGAGTGGAACCAGTGAAACCAGGGTTGAAACTCAGGTTTGCAGGGCACTAAAGCTCTAATCCCAAGCACTGTGATATTAGGCATCACCTTCCCATGCCTAGGACTGGTTTTCCTTTTATGAGCTCCTATAACCCTCTGTACTCCCTTTTGTGATGTTTATCCTACCATATGGTAATTGCCTATTTACCTTTCTGCATCCCCCACACTATGAACACTATGAGGGCGAGAATCAAGTTGGCATTGTTCAACATTTTATCCCCAGGGCCTTGTGCACAACAGTTATGCAGCCATTTTGTTGAACAAACGTGTCCATGATTTTAGGTCAACCTTAGTTTTCCCTCCTTATGACATATTTGGTGTTTTACAAGCATTCCCCATCAGTAGAGTCCCAACAGTTTCATTACAAATATAGTTTATAACTGTTTTTCTCTCCCTCTCCCATTCCCTGTATCTGTCTCTTTTTTTGTTTGTTTGTTTTATTCTTATAAAAATCCTGAGAGGTTTCTTCTTAATGCAAGCATCGTGCTATATTTAATGACTTTTCTTCTTTGGAAGATAGGACTGAGAACCAAACTCAAGAAAGTAACCTTCTGTGAAAGCTCAGTGTTTGCCACGATGGGGCCTCCATATATTAATAACACAGGCCCTGCCTATGGGAAACTTGAGTTTTAGTGAAGAACTCTGTGTATACAGAAAGCAGCAAATAAGGTTAATTGTCTAATAACTCTGTGTCTTCAGGAGTATGAATAATATGTTTAATACTTTGAAGACAAATAAGTTAGTCTTGAGGAGCCAATCATATTTCAAGCAACTCCGACTTACTTTTTAGAGAGGAAAAAAAAAGTCAACTTCAAATGTCAACGTTTAGATATCTTCAGATGTTTAGATATTATAAATAAATATCTGAAAGTTAAAGTAAGATGAGTGACAGGGTGTGAGGATTGTTTTTTTTTTTTTAAATAAAATTTTTGTATGGATTACACACGCCTGCAGTACTAGACTCAAAAGGTACAAGAGTGTGTGTGGTGAAGGTAAGTCTTGCGCCCGCAACCCTGCTCTTGTACCTGACTACCCAGTTCCCTTTCTTAGGGGCAAGTACTAATGCCATTTTCTTGCGTTTTTTCCGGAACATTTTTAGTACCTAGTAAATGATTAACAGACAAAGGTTCCTCAAACAAAATTGTGAAATACATCCTGTGCCCTTTCGCCCTCTTTCAGAGCCCTTTTATCCTTTCCCAGACACCAAGTGTTAGTATGTGGTATATTCCGTCTAGGAGGAAAACCACACAAATTCATTCTCACGAAGTGATAATGGCTTTAATTATCCTTTCTTGGAGCATTTGTGTTGTTAGGGGCCTCTCTAGGAAGAAGGCAATGCTTAGCACAAGGTAATAAATAATAAAAGTAGAATCAGACATCAAGGCGGGGGAAACACAGGGGCATAGATGGTGGGGTGAGCAATACATATTTGGATAGAAATTCCCCTTCTGTTAGGGCACTTAACTATTCAGACCCACATATTTTGGTCCTTGGTTTATTCTTTGGTTAGGAAAAAGCATAATTATGTTGATCCCAGAGGCAAGGTGAGCATCAACATGTCTAATGATTAGCTAACGTGTGCCAAGTTGTGTATGTGTGTGAATCCCAAAAGATGGTATATTATTAGCTCTATTTAAAGGATAAGGAGGGACTGGCCCCATGGCCTAGTGGCTAAGTTTGCGCGCTCTGCTTCAGCGGCCCAGGGTTTCACTGGTTGGGATCCTGGGCACGGACATGGCACCACTCATCAAGCCATGCTGAGGCGGCGTCCCACACAGCACAACCAGAGGCACTCACAACTAGAATATACAACTAGCTACTGGGGGGCTTTGGGGAGAAGAAGAAGAAAAGAAAAGAAGAAGATTGGCAGCAGTTGTTAGCTCAGGTGCCAATCTTTAGGGGAAAAAAAATAAAGGATAGGGAAACTGAGGTAACCTAGGTTCAGTAATTTGTCCAAAGTCACAGACAGCTAATAAGTGGCAGAGTTGAGGTTTTCATGAAAATGTGAAGGTCATTTTCGCTCGAAGTGCTTGTTGCCAGTTGTGGTTAATTATAACACAACATTAAATCAGTATAGACTAACTACTTGTATTCCACTTTACACACTAACAATATAGTCTAACTTGGATATTAACTAAATGAAGCATTTTACTTTCCTCCTCTCATAAATAAGAGTAGATTGT